AGAACACCCAGCTGCTTGTTTCCATGTTTCCTAGTTAACATTTTCGTTCACAGTGTTTCAGTATTTCATGAACAAGCACCCCAAACAAAGCAACTCTGATGAACTCAGTGTCTGTTGTGGAAGTTAGCTCTCACTGGAGGTGGATCAGCTTACAGAAAATATAGCATATTTTGTGCCTCCACCCCACGCCCCATCCCTTTAATTATGTACATGTTTTAGAGAAAAATGTTTGAAGGCAAAAATTTGTAGGTAGTTTTGCTATGGAATTCTGATAATTAGACAGCACCACCACAGCATCTAAGACTACACTTCTGTTGCTACACTGAAATACAGAGAGGAAGAGACAGAAGTCAAATGCTTCTATTCTCAAAGCTAGGTCTCTGAGAATACAGTAAAGTTGATAGAGCACATATTTAAAAGAAGTAACTACATGTACGGTTGGAGTTGAGCATTGACAGTAGTCTGTAAAGTCTGATATCTAAATGGATTGCTCCTACGAATTTATTTCTTTTATCTTGTAAATGAAGGTAGGGCCATCTTATCTTTGTTTCTGCGTACTTAATGTGTCAGTGTCACTCATGTTTGAAAATGCAGACTATAAGGTTTTGAATTCACTTCTTTTTATAGCATTCTTTTATGATGACATTTTTAAATAGTTAGATGCGGGCTTTTCTAGGAAATAAGTTATTTTTGTTTCTTCTGACAGACTTTCTTGTCAGATACATGTTCCTGAAATACTCTACATATTTTTTTCAAAATCAGATCTATCTCATATTGGCCTTCATTTGATATGGATCCATGACTGATTTTGATGCTACAATGGAACATCCTTCACTTATCATATACATTCTTCTGCCAGTCATGAATTTACTTCACATGCATACACTTGCTTAATCTCTAAAAGAAATCATTGCAACTTGAAACTGACATAGTCTTTCGACAGGATTCCCAAACAGTGAATCATACCATATTACACTTTCTTCCCATTCTGTGCACTACACAGTTTTAATACTTAATGAAAGGTACACAGAAAATGTACTTGAATTCAGATGTGAACAACAATACAGATTGCTGTTAACAAAGCTTTTACCTTTTTAAATGCAGGATGGTCTCTAAATAGCACAGAAATGATAGCCCAAAGAAGCCCAACTCCCGTCTTCCAACATACAGTATACGCCTTATTTTCTTTACCTTGCTTTTTACACCATGCTACATGTAGTTCATGCTTCTGTTGCCTAGGCTTGGCTAGTGCATCTATGAGGTGACACGGAGATCATGCTTGGAACACCCTGCAACCCTTGATTAACTGGTTCTGGTCAAGTATCTCTCCCTCCCCGCTGTCGGCAGCCTTGGCAAGCCTGCACACATGGGTGTTTTCTAGGCTGGAGTAGAGCACCCACCCCCCACACCCCCCACACCCCCCCCCCATGGTACCTCGCCCCGAGGACAAGCACGACTTGAATGTAGGGTTAAGTGCGGGTGGATGACCAGTCAGGCTGGACTTTGACATACATCTTTACAGGTGTTTCCTTCAACAAAGCCCCCTCCTTGGGTGTTTGCCTTGCACTGGCAATAGTTAAAATTAAGAAATTAACTCCTGGCCAAAAAGGAGTCCCAAAGCCACACAGCTCCAGGGGAGATGAAGGTAGCAGAGGAAGCAGAGGTAATCCTTGGCAGTGAAATCAGACAGACAAGCAGGTAGTCTGGACACCTAAATGAAGGCTGTTTGGGACCATTCCCTTGGGAATGGGCCACGGGGTTTGGGAGGCATCACACTACCAGTGTTTTGCACAAAAAGCAAAAGAACCAGCCAGAGCAAAGCAAAACAGCCAGGCTCCTACCTGACATCCCGGTATTTTTCTGAGTCATCCAGCCCGATATGAGGGTATCCTCTAGTCTGGGAGGGCTGAACGCTGGAAATGAACCGTCAAGGCTAATGACAATCTTCTCTATTCAGCATACCTCACGCTTGCTTGTTGCAATCGCCCATTAAGCCCACATTAATTGCATTGATTTATTTGATGTTTGTATGCAAGGGTTTTGGCGTGTCCCCCTCTTGGCTTCTGCTTCGCACAGAAACACCACCCGGTCCAACCTGTGTCAGGTTTACTGCCCAGGCACCGTTTTACTGCCATCCATTACAGTGACTGTGATCTAAACAACTCAGCTGCCCCCATCCTGTGTCCTACCATCTCTCACTCCCGTCGGCACAGTGGGAAAATAGAGTGCTCTTAAACCCGGGAAATATTCTGCTGATAGGCACATAAATCTCTTCTGCAGAGCGCTACCATTTAACTAGCACGACGAGGTGATGCTCACTGGGTGAGGTATTCCCACAGCGAGTAAATCTCTCAGGACTCACAGTTTTGGCTGTTTGTTTCTCCCCAAGGTTAGGAAAAAAAAAAAAAAAAAAAGGGTATTGAAAATCAGGTAGAACTTTTGAAACGCACTTACCCACGTAATCCTCTATACCTAGGAAGGGAAGAGGGTATGACTGCAAGTAAACTTTCCTGAGCAGCTTGGTGCGGGAGGATCACAGCCGCAGCAGCGTCAGAGTCGGATAATTCAGGAGAAATGGCTGGGATTTGTTTCACTACCTGAGTCCCGTGCGAAGGGCCCCGGGGCAGGAGGAGGTGTGTGCGGGGGGGCGGGGGGCAGGCGGGAGCAGGGGCGGCAGGTCGGCAGTGACGGTGATGGGAAAACGTCCTGGAGGAGAGACACTGGAAGAAGGACGCCTAGATAAGAAGAGGAGTAGACGGGGGAATTCGAGCTGCCGGGAGTAGAGAAGATCTAGAGGAAGGATGAATTTTGGATCTCACGCCTGAAGGGCTTCTTCACTCCCCTTTTCCCTACACCAGCCAGCAATTTGGAGGCGGGGGGGGGGGGGGGAAGGAGGCGACTGGGAAGCATTCTCACGAGCACGGTATTGAAGGAGGCACTGATCTTTCCCGTCCTCTGCTTGCCACCAGGCAATAAATTTGTATCTCTTCCTGGCATCTCTACCTGCTCGCAAGCCTTTAGCACCTTCCTTGTGATGTCTGCACTCACTACTTTGGAGACACGACTGTACACGCACGCACACACACACCTATCCTGCACACCACACGATAGAGTTAAATAAAGCCCAGTGAATACCTCCTTGTGAAAAGTAACATTTTCCCTGCCCACCTTCTGCTACTGATCGTGGGAGGATCTCTGCCGCTAATTAGAAATACAGAAATACTGGAAGTATTAAACACAAATAGCGCCCTGAAGGCACTTGTCCCCTTTTTAATAAAAAAGTATTTATTTCTTGGTGCTCTCCTCTATTTTTCTTACAAAGTACAGAAGCCCCTATTTGATTCAAAAGATAGTCTATCCTTCGAAACGCGGCAGGTACGTATATACGTTGGGCTGAGCTCCTCAGGCCAGGGGAAAATGCAGGTATTCCAGAAAATAGTGATACATAAAACCAGGAGGTGTAACGGGATTCAGGAATGCGGGAAGGACGTGAAGCGGGAGCAGGAGCGGCAGGGCAGGAGCGGCAGGGCAGGAGCAGCGTGAAACGGGAGCAGGAGCGGCAGGGCAGGAGCAGCTGCTGTTTCCCCCTCCAGCCGCAGCCCGCGCAGCCCGGCGGGCTGTCACCTTCGAGCACAAGCGACAAGACAGATTTAATTAAGCCTGGAAATCCTTTCCTATCCCTTCTGGAGAATAATTCCCCACTCCTAATCCAAGCTTCTTCAGGGAGTCAGAAAGGGTAATGAACTTTTCCACTTTATCTCCCCACGCAGACTTCCAGACACTCCTTTAGACACGCTCACGACTCCCTTAACCACCAGCGATTTCTGTCCACCCTCCAACACGAGGAGAAATACTGAGCCTTTCCAGCATCCATAAGAGCAGCTGTATCTGCAAGGGTTAAACTAGAGAATGTAGCAGGTACAGTGCCTGATGAAAACATTAATAAAAGGTGATGAATAAGCAGGGTGATAGTAAAGACTGTGGGAGTGAGACTGCGGTGTGGATTGCAACTCAGCGCCGAAAGCGGTGACTAACGTACGGAATGGATGTAGGCAAGCAGGATTGGTGCTTCGTAATTTCTTCGAGTTTAGAAAGTGGAGCCCGCCAGGATACTGAAATGTTCAGAAGCAAGGCGAGGCCATTGAGATGTTGCTTTGCTTTGTTTTTCCTGAAAACAAGCAACCTGAACGTGAATTAAAGCCTACTTACCGAGTGAAATTGCAGGAAGCGAGGCGGCTGTGAGCAAAATGCATCTCGACTCTAAGCATATAGTCCATGATCATCGGCTTCAAGCTAAAGGAGAGCTTTGCATGGTGGTGGGACTTTGGAAAACATCAGCAGCTCTGTGTAGCACAACAGCAAGTATAACGAAACCATTCACACCGTGCGTGCCACTGTGCGTGTGTAGCGGGGAGAGAGGCTCAAGACCCAAGGGCGGGGGGGGGGGGGGGGGGGGGGGGGGGGGGGGCGGCGGGAGGGAGGAGAAAGCGAAGGAAATCCGAATAGCGAGAAGAGTTGAGAGGAGGGATAGGATTTACTAGGGCTGGGGTGGGCTTTTTGGTGGTGGTGGTAGTGATCCTCAAGCAAAGGATAGCAAACTGTGGGATCTCAACAGCGGGCAGGAAGAGATGGGTTTTACCAAGGCAGGTAGAGCAATGACAAGACAGCACCGAGAAGTGGGAGGCTGTAGAGAGCCTAGGCGGTCCGGAGAGGGGCGAAAGCGGGTCTCATCCCGCCAGCTGCGGCAGAGGGGCGGGCTGGGGCGCCAGGGAGGGGACGCCGGGTGAAGCCCGAAGCTGCCCTCCCCGCAGAGCTCCCCGCGCCGGGGTCAGGATTTGCAGGACTTCTCCAATCTCCCTCGGGGAAGGAGGGAGGCGGGAGAGGAGGAGGAGGGGGCCGCCTGCGCGGCTGGGCGCGCGGAGTCGCGGAGCGGGGCGCGGACGGACCTGGTTCTGCCGCTCCACCGGGGGGGGGGGCGACATGGCAGCAGAGGCGGTGGGAAGGGTGTTGGGGAAGAGCATGGCACTGCCAAGGGCAGCCCACGGGGCCGAGGCACAGCCCGTGAGGGCACGGCACGGGGCCGGGGTAGCTAGCTGGCTGCTGTGCGGCGCAGCTCCCGTTCCTCCTCCTCCTTCACCCGCAATCCAGCGAGCCACAGCGGCGGTATCGACCGGGTAAGAGGACCCCAGCTCCCAGCCTTTCCCTCTCCCCTCGGCCAAGCCTTTGTTTCAGATTTTTTATTATTATTAATTTTTCCGCAGCCAGGCTCCCCCGGAGCCGGTTCTCCCTGTTCGCACTCTGCGCCTGCTTGCTCTCCCGGCTGTGGCCGCTCCATCTTCCCTGTCCCGGACTGAGCCCGCTTTCCCTCCCCGACAGGGAAAGGCAGCAGAGGGGCTGGGCCCCTTGCGTCGGGAACCGGCTTCTCGGAGCTATGCAGGGAGGCGGACATCACGGCGATAAGCATTTGCGGAGTGAGGGATGGGCGGAAATGTTCCTGCTTATCACTCATGCACCCTCCCTGCCCTGGGTGAAGCATCCTCCCTTCATCCCCCCTTTCCCGGCGCTTCTAGGCTCTCTGTATGGAAATCACGAGATGGCTCGGTGGAAAAATCTCTTGTCCTCGCATAGCGGCTCCAGAGTGTGTGCTGAATTTCAAGGTGTGTGTGTGGGAGGGGAAGGCAGCGACAGCATTTATGGAGCTTGGTGCCCCCTCCCCTACATATGTGCTGTAAGCAGCCACTCGCGTTTATGGCTAATAAAAACGTATTTCCTTATGTATAGCTAGGCTGAGAGCTTGGTACTAGTAAACTGAAAGCCCATCCGTGTCAGGGAATGGCCTGCAGAAGCTTTGGCATCCCTGCATGTATGACACACCATGCTTCCTATGATTACAGTGACCATATAGACTATGTGATGTATATACTTTGGACAATATGGAGTAACCATCAGTAATACACCAGCACTTGTCCATTGTGCTACGTGGGGTCTTTAAAAGAGACTGTAATTGCTATTGAGCTTTTTGACCAAGGTTTTTGTCTTCTCTCAGTTACCTGTCTAAGCTCCAGTGTGAAGCATTCCGATACATTTGCAGTTCTGTCAGTTTTATGTTTCCAGAATCTGTTGTGAGAGCAATCTTCAGCAACTGAAGAAACCCAAGATTACCCTGGCATCACATTGGTTTGTTCCTGTCAGCATGGTTTTTTATATATATATGCACACATATATATATATCTTTTACTAAAGAATTGTGGAGTGGTCTGGTATTACCAATGATTCAGCATGCTTTAATTTTGATTGTCTTTTTGTTTTACAGCAGAGGAGAGAAAAGGACCAAAGGAAGGATATTATGGTTAGTAAAGAAAAAAATGCAGTGTTCAAGTGTAGTAGCTGTTGCATATGTATGATTCATTATGCAGTTATAAAAATGAAAGGCTTACCATCTTGCCTCTTTGCCTTAGAATACAATTTCTCTTGCAGCAACAAGTAGCACAGGCTCCTCTTCCCCTCTTTCCTCCCGCTCCCACCTTCAGCCCATCCTGACAAAATGCCAGTTACAAAGGTCAGCCTGTTTATGTAAAGATCACTGTGCTTCTTGACAAAGACTGCTGCACATGAAGCCTGCAATGACTGTCAAACAGAATTTTGGATTCAAGACACTCAATAAGAGTACTGTCCATTTTCTAGAACTGACAGAATCCCAGAAAAACAAAAGACAAAGAGACATATTGTGTGAATGGGATAGATCAACAGTGCCAGAGTGCACATGGGCAGCAATATCTTCATAGCAGTGTTTGTTACTGAAGATGCTAGCAAGATCCAATGGACCTTTATATATGTGTGTGCATGTGTGGATATGGATTTTCTGATATGTTAATGCTTTTCTACTCTTCTCTTTACATTTCTTGCTAACCCTAATGATGTCCTAGGCTGAATCTGCTCTGCAGATACTTCACACCAAAGGTAGCTTAAACCAGCCAAGGAGAATTCTGAGTCTGAACAGCTCCACCCTCCCCAAAAAAGTGAAGAGATCGAATTCACTCGGCTCAGGCTTAGAACTTCAGTTTTCATTTCATAGCATCCAGAGGTGCAGTGGACATAATGTGATCTTTATTTCACTGTGGTCCTTTTCCTTCCCCACTGACTTTAATCTAGAGAGTAGTGCAACTTTGTTTCCTGAACCAGTATCACCTATCTTGGTCCTTTCCCACTTTAAATCTAATAAGCATAATCTGTTGTTATTTACTTGTGTATATATGACTAATAGCTAAATGTTAAAAAGTTAACATGGGGCATAAACTTGTACTACCTACTGAAAATGCTCAATTCAAATTTAGGACCCAGTCTTAATGGAGGAGCTGCACAGCAACATTTGAGGGAGAAGAGGCACATCAAATCCTCCCATCCTAAAAGCCTTGTGGCTCTGAATTACAGGTCATTAGATTCCTTTGTCCTGTAAATCTGAGTTAAATAGCAGTGTATATCTGTGTTGCTAAATGCACCTTTTAATGGCATATCCCATAACATTTTGATTTTTACTTCATATAATCAGCCTTTTGACCCTCTTACTTCCAGAACCTGCTGTGCTCCTCTTCAGCTACTGAAAAAGGTATGTAATTTATTAAGCCAGTTCAGCAGTTACCCTTAGTTTGCAACAGGCAAACCTATTATGCAAACAATACTGTCACCTTCTTCAAGTGCCTTCCTTCTCACAGCTATAATGAATTCCCTGCATGCTACTCTGCTGTAAATTCTCAGTCTAAAAATTCCATCCACTACACGTTTTGTCAGGGGAAATTGTACTTGACTTTTGAAACAGTTGGGAGGAGCAAAATGATAACCTACTAAAGTGCCTTGCCCTTAAACGAAATTGTGGTGAAGTAATTAAAGTTAGAGCAAAAGACTTAAACTTTGGACTGCTTGTGTTCCTAGTGGTTTTGCTTGGGTGAGTTTTTTTTAGAAGTCTGATTTGAATGTCAAATTTGCATATTCTGCAAGAAAACACAGTGAATGCTTAATTACTTATGTCCAGTGTTCATATTTTGGTTTGAAAACAACATGTCATATATTCCTGGGTTTCATTTCTAGTTACTATTCACAACCAGAAACTGAACTGTGTACCTAATCAAGTCTTGTATTTGTTCATTATAGAAACAAATATGCTGTACTTAGAATTTTGCTTTATACACATATCAGAGAAACATGTAACTGCAAAACAGTCCAGGTTGAAAAAGACTCAAAAGATCATCTCATCCAACCTTTCATGGGAAAGGGAGCCTAGACAAGATTATCTATCACCCTGCTCAATATCATCTTGAAAACCTCCAGTGAACAGGACTCTACCATGTCCCTGGGGAGGTTGCCCAGTGAATGATTGTTTTTACTGTAAAAAAAATATTTCTTGAGATGAAACTTCTCCCAGTGCAGCTTTTACTGATTGCCCCTTGTCTGCTACATGTAGTTCCTTGTGACGACAGGGTTTCTATATTTTTTGTAGCTGCTCAGAAAGTACTGGAGACTATGATGGGGTCCTCTCAAGTCTTCTATTCTCCACAGAGAAAAGACCTAACTACTTCAGTGTTTTCTCTCAGGGTATGATCTCCAGCCTTTGATCATTCTGTGGCTTTTCTTTGGACCCTCTCCAGTCTGGTCATTTTCTCAAATTGTGGGGACCTGAACTGGACCTCCGCTGGACACACAACAAGTAGAAAGGGATAATCACATCTCTATCTCTCTATCGCTCTTAGTAATGCCCCTGTAGATGCAGCTCAGGATCCGATTTGCCTTTGTTGCTGCAGTGGCACTTCTGACTCATGTTCAGCTTATCGTCCACCAGCAATGTATTTCAACCTATGCATTTTGCTTTAACAGAGATATGATTCACTTGAATAAAATTATATCTACTGACTTTTTATTTTCTAGCAGAGGAGACTATTTTTAGAATTTTCCAACATTTCACTTACAGGGAATGAACTAGTACTGTAGAATTTCTTTAATTAAAAAAAAAAAAACAGATCAAAGAAATAGAACATTAACAATGATTGCATACTTGTTTGTCCTTTGGCAGCAAAGGACAAGCTTAAAGGGTTTGTTTTTCAGGTTGTTGCCATCATTAAAAAAGAAGTCTTCTGAGATAAGCTAACTTCTTTGAAGAGATGGTATTTCTCTACTGCTTTCAGAACATATTAATTTCAAGACCTGTAAGCTCACATGAACTCAGTAGACATTGCTAGACACACATGTCTAGAAGGGATACAATAGCATTTGAGATGTGGAAGCATGAACATCTCTAGGGGTTGGCAATCTACTACCTCCTTCTCGTAGAAGATTTAAGTCTATTCTGTAGAATTTTCACAGCTATTATTAAGAGCACTAGTAGGGTGCTAGAAGGTACTCTCTTTACACTGTAAATAAACACAGCAGCCTGAATCAGAAACTATGTCTCTGAATGAACAGAAGAATTTGATGGCTGGACTATAGTAGATATTGTTTATAATTGTAAACTCTCCTTACCACATGAAGCAAATGATAGCTGTTATTACACAGTTTGATAGGTATAATCAGATTACTTCTTTAAAGAGTTCCCAACCCTGACATTAGAACAGAAGATGAAGTAATTGTCTTCAAATCTATGGGACAATGACAATAATAATGTGCTACGATACTGTTACTGATTTTTATTTTTTTTTTCTTTTTTGAGTTGAGGCACATTCTGGCTGTATTTCCATGACCAATGGCCATGCAGGGAAAAATATGGGCTTGGCATTTTTAAAATACCTCTGGTATATTCAGGTGTTCACTTTTTCTTGCTAGCTGAACTTTTCTGTTACTTTCAAGAAAATGAAAAAGATAATTGTAGAGAAAAAAGTAAAAGAATGAAGGAAGAAGCCTTGCGGCAGAGAGTCCTATGCATCTAATGCCTAAAAGTGCAATGTATACTTCCAGTAGTTGATATGATGGAAATGGAACAGAGCACTGACTTTACAAGCAGTGTGAGACACGCTCTCCTAACACTTCAGCAGTTGTAGAGGAATGGAGGTGTATTTTTCAGTGTGTTTGTATTTAAATACAGAAGCCATGCTTCTTCTGTCAAACTTCTATTCCCCACCTGAACTTAGCGCTGTCACACAAACTTAAATAAAATCTAGCTGGCAGTGTTGTGTTACTTCCAGTCAGAATTGAGTTCCTTCCAGACTCAAGGCATTACCACAGAAAATCTCTGTTCCATAGAGGTCAGAGACTGAAAGGCATTTGAATTAATGGTGGAGGACAGAATAAATGTTGAAATAGAAGACTCCTCAACATATTTGCTGTGGTGCATGTAAAAGATCATGACCCACTTTGAGACAGGATGAGTTTTTGGAAGGTTGATGGAGTCAAATGAAGTTCTGTTATATTTGATGTCTGGTACAAAAGACAGACTTGTAGCAAAAACGATGTTGTATTCAAGGTGTTAAGAGATCCTGAATAGAATATATGTCCTTTCCCTTTATGAATGCTTGCAGAAGGAAAATATCTATTCACAAAAATTATACAAGAAATTTGTCATGGACGGAAAAAAGAACAACAGACAGGTACCAGAGAAATTCTCAGTTGATGCTTTGCAGTGTCAAGGAATTACACACTAGCAAGGCAGAGTTTTATATAAGGTGGTTATGACGGGAAGAAAAGGTCATGTAGAGAAAGCAATTTGGTTTTGGAAAATAGATTATTTTACAGATACTGGTTCAAATTGACAGTTATTCCCTGAATTACATCTTGTGCATTATCTCAGTAGATGTGGTTATCTCCCATAGAAATGAGCTGAGCAAAAGATATGTAGTAAGATTTGAAAATAACCTTTGTTATTATATGTCATTACCTCATAAGAATCAAAATACATAGGCTGCTAATGACAATGAACAAGAACAATACAGTTTTTTGAACAGTCTGTTTAATGCATTTCTAGTGTCTAGCATGCACTTAAAATACAGCAATATTACAAGCATTTATCATTTGCCTGGGCTAGGGAGCTAATGAGATAGAAAAAGCATGCAGAATCTGAATGGATGAACTCCATTTACCTAATTTCCAATTCAAACACAATGATATGAAAAATAGGTAATATATGTATAAAGTCATCTTTTTTTTTTTTTTACAGTTCTTGTCTTGCAACAGCTTGGGTTGGGGCTGGATCATTTTGGCACACAACAGGTATGTGTTCTTGTCAGCAGCAGCCATCACTCTTGTAACATTTCTACTTCTTCCCAGCTGGTTGGTGGCCAGTACCAAGAAGATATAAAGTTCTTCTCAGTCACAAAGAAAAGGAGGCAATAAAATAGATGTCTCTTACATAATTTATTTGATTACATTCTCCATTTGTCAAAACAATAGAGCACAAAGCCCAAATGTTTTCTGTGAAGCACTCTGCTTGGTTTTAAGCATGCGCTATATCCGTGATTACTCTCTAGTATGTGTTTTGCTGAATCACAGGGCAGCAGTAATGTATACATTTCAGGCAGTGCAAATGTCTACCAGAAAGCCATATTTTCAGTTGCATTTCTTTAAATGACATTGAAGGGAAAGTAAATAAAATCTTAGGACTTGATCCGAAAAACTTGTGCATCCTGTTTTGAGCTAACTGTCTTGATTTTGCTCAACCTTAGAAATAACACTCCCTTTTTGGCAGAAACTCTGACACAGCAGAGCACCAAGTTGTGTTCCTGTTTTGAACATTAGGAGATCAGACATCTGTTTCCTTGCTTGTTTTGTTGTTTTTTTGGTTGTTTTTTTTTTTCCCAGATTAAAAAAACATGAAAAGCAACACTGCAAAACACATTAAAAAAGGATAATCTCAGTGTCCCCATTAGCTGTGCACT